TTTGATTTAAATTTATGTTTTTGAACGTTGTTTGTGCCAAAGAGAAGTAAAAAACTAGCTTCTATGCGGTAATTTTATACTGTTAATTAAAAATTATTTGAAAAAAGTTTCTTTTTCCTGAGGACGACCACGGTGAGGCAAAATAGATTCGACCTTCACAAGGATTTTGCTCTCACTTTGAATGTTACGACACTCTTTAGACCGGCATGCTACTTATCTGCGATGCTAAACTTTTCACTCATAATAACAAGCGATTAATGGCGAGACCAAAGGCTTGCATGCTCTATCGGCGAGGCTTCAAGCTCACAATCGTGCCATAATCTTTAATTAAGTATGATTATGATGCAGGCTGCGTTTGCACTCACTGGGTAAGTGGGGTAACTAGAGATTTGCTCGAGGTACATATGACCGACGAAAGTGCAACGAGCTCCTTTCAAAATCGCTGAATATTTTGAATAATCCTTGCCTTGCATCGCCATAAAAAAACTCCAATCTTTGCAAATCTCTGCAAAAAAATAGCTCAGGGTAAAAACACTTGACAGTCCATGGAAAAGGGACTTCAGCTTTTGAGGGACAATTTTGCAGAGAGCAATTTTTATCAATTTAATAAAAAAGAAGTGGGTATCCGAGTTTTTGACAGCAAAGAATCTGAAGTATTCATAAAATCTGTTGGAAAAAAGTTGAATTTTGTTAAAGAAAGGACGCAAAACTGTCTTTGGATTCGACAATCTTGCACTTCAAACATGCTAGATAAAAATATTTTATGACTCGCCCTAAAAATCACGTTTCCCCGGCCCCAGAAATGTTTGAAAAAAATGTATTACTCCATAAAGGAATCATTTTATTGTAGAGCATATCCGTTGGCGGATCCAGCAACTTGGCAACACCAGATTTCCCTCATTTCAACTTATGGAAATGTATCGATTCTTGGAGGAACCAGGTGCTCCGACAAGAATCGATTATTTAGCACAGGTTTAAATAGAGGGAATCCGGTGTTGCCAAGTTGCTGGGTCCGCCTCTGAATACCGTAATTATTTTTTTGGCCGATTGAATTCCAGTAGAATTCGGTTTTTTGACAAACGGAAAGTCAGAATTGACAAATATGAAAAATATTACATCCTCAGCCTCGATCATGAGATTTAGATATATGTATCCGTTCAACGCCACCGCGTTCTGCGCGAAAATTTGAAAAGAGACCTCAAACTGCGCGGTGATCGATTTCTTACCTTGCCTAATAAGCGGGGCTTGGACAAGGATCAGAGACCCGGATATCAGGAAACGAGCCTAAGCAATGCTGACAAGACGCATAAAATAAACAGCAAAGGCCCACATCGTCCATTTGCTAACAAAACAGCGTAACTCCATCACCACGTGAGCCATGAAAATTATGGGATCATACGAGCGTGAGGGCTCATACTGAGGTAAGCGAGCATCGCGACCACATATTTTCTGACCGTTCACCGAGAGAGGCGGCGCTAGGCGCGGCGGTAAAAAAACACACTTGTATGCGCGAAAGATCTCGGTCTCCTGGTTACATTGGAACCTTAACGAGAGTGTCCACAATCTGGAGTATGTTTATATGTTTATTGATTGCGCAAGCGGCGACCGAACGTGACTCTCCTGGCAAATGCGTTATTAACCTCAGTTCCTGTATAACTGCATCATTTCGGGCCGCATTCTATTGTCTCGTTCGCGTCGTCCCGGAATTATCAGAGCTTGAAAAAATGCGCACCGGTGAATGATGCCAGGGATTGGCATCGGACGTCAGGAATGCGTTCCGTGGGAAAAAGGACCGCTGCGGGGATTTGCAAGAATGGACCGAAAAAAGGTNGGGGGGGGGGGGGGGGGGGGGGGGTGTAAGGTTTGCACCATGAGGGTGTCTGTCACAACTATTGCACTGGTAAAAAAACCTCTTGGACCAATGCCGCGTTGCATTGACTTAAGAGTGCAGTTTCTTGTCGCCGAATTTAAGAGTCTTGAACTCTTGTTTCAAGCGGATTTTGCATTGATTCAAGCGGATTTTGCATTGAAACAAGAGTCTAGACTCTTAAATCCGGCGACAAGAAACTGCACTCTTGAACCAAGAGGTTTTTTTTTACCAGTGTGATCCTAGGGGTCTTTGACCCTCTGAATTTTAATTTTCTTTATCATAGTTCGTTTTACCCATTCAACTGGGTTGATTTACCTACATTATTTTTGCAACTGTCGACAAGTGCTTGTCCTCCAAATCCGCCGTGCTAAGAAAAAACGCAGTATGAGCCTTTGGACGTTGCCGAATTTCCTTCAATAAATCACGAATGGTCGGGAATATTTATTGGCATTTTCCTGCAACCTCAAAGTGTTTCCTGCAACCTCAAATTGTGTCCTGCAACCCCAAAGTGTGTCCTTCAAACCCAAGTAATGACACTTTCTGGTTCGTGCTTGGAAAATCGCACTTTCGAGGAAGGACTGTTTGAAGCTCTAATCAACCAATTTCATAGTGCACGGAATAAGGAAGCATCTGACGATGACAGTCTCTTCGTGACATCTAAAATACACAGCACTTTGCTTTCTTAAACGTGACATGTCCGTTTCTGCAGCGCAATCAGAAACTACCAGAAAAAAACTCGATCAACACGAACGATTTCCTCATACCTTTTTTCAAATTCTTTTGGAGAGAACGAAATATATTTCCCAAGTTTAAATCTTAGTTATTTTAACTCTTTAGATTTCTTTAGTTCTGTAGCGCCGAGTCAAGATAGACAACGAAAGAGCCTTTCAAATAAGGGTCTTTTCATGCTAATTTTCCGGGAACCCGGCGAATTCATCAACCGACAGTGAAAATAAATCCTTTAATGAGACGTGCAACTGTTACTGTCCCTTTCTATCGATAAAAAAAACAACGCAAAATCCAAATTTTTCTGACGTCATTTGTCACGCTATCATACGTTCAAATTTTATCTAGCTGTATATTCAACAGTTTCCTACAATTTTCGAAAGCTCAAAGGGTGGGAGTTTCCGTCAAGCACCACGTAATTACAAAGGAGGGGGCGGAGGAGGGTCCGAACTTGCGTTACCGAGGGAAGAAGGGGGTTCAATGTCCTGAAAGTGCGTTAAGAAACACACGAACACCCCTATATTAACTTCGGAATTTCGCTTACTTTCTTAACCTTGCGTTTAAGTCTCCTAACATAGGCACTACCCGTTACTACATTGGTTTAGTTCTCCATTATTCAACTACATCTGCTGACTGTTTGGTTGCAATGCATACCTGCCTTTGCACTTAAGCATTGCGTAAACATTTTATGCTCGAGTTTTTAGCTGGTATGGCGACACAATATCGCAAAATGTACATATTGAAACCCTAAAAACAACCATTTTACAAAATACGTAGTACTAAATTTTGGATTTTGTTGACCTCCTCCCTCCGTGGCGCTTTTGTAAAGTGTTCTTGCGACCGTATTCTTTGACAGGGAAAAGCAAAATCGAGAAAAGCTCTCTTTGACCTCCACTCGCCTAGAGCGTTACGTATTTTAAGAACGGCCCTTTACGTGCGTGAAAAGTAAATTTTGCATTCCGATATTGACAGACTCGGGTCTAAACTTAGGCTATAAATTTATGAGAGAGGCTTTTCTCACCAAAAAATTTCATTTCAAGTGCATTTCAATGAATCTACCAGAATCCCGAGAGAAGAGGCACATTTTTTGAGACTCTTAATGAACATATAAAGGTCAAGGTCGGAAAGACAAGGGACAACCGGTTTTTAACGCCGGGATACTCAGTGAAACATTTTAACATTCTGTTGGATTGAGGATTAGATCCAGGTAATTTTTACTCTATTTCTAAGTTAAATTTTACTATATTTTAATTCGAATGCCTTCGAATGATTTTATATCAACGGAAAAACTCCCAAACCACGTATTTCAGTTCGTGACGTTGCAGACTTCCTGTCAGATTTTAGTTTTTGAATGAAAGAATATTCAACGATGATTTTTAAAAACTGCCATGATTTTTTTCTCTGTGAAAAGAAACTTCTTTGAAAACTGCAAAGAATACGATTGACCGTTCCTCCTTTGAAAAAAGAAAATAGGAGCGGATATTTTAAAACATCGCAAATGAGAAGCGAAGTTTGGGAGTTTGAGCGTGGGAAGGATACTAATTGACTCAAAATTAATTTAATTGCCTTCAAGTTTGAATCTGACCTGACTGGACTTACCTTCAGTATGGGAACAAAATATTATCAGTTTTAGCACCACACCGATTTCCTAATTTTCAAACTTATATCTATTGTGTAAGTCGGCAATCACAAAACTCGGTTTGCGACGTCACAGACTTCCTGTCATACTTCATTTTTTAAACGGAAAACTACTCAACGGCACTTCTTTAAAATTGCCGTGCTTTTTCTTGTCTGTGCGAAGAAAATTCTGCATAAACTTCAAGGAATGATGTCAATTGGTTCTTGTTTGAAGGAATAACGTAGAGGCGGAGATTTTTAGACACCGCAAACGAGTTATGTGATTGCGGACTCTCGCCGTCGTCATCCTTTGCTCACTGAGAAAAAATTCTCGGCGTTTTTACCTCGGTCCGTTGGTACCTTTACCATCTCACTTTTTTTTACCAACTATTGGTAATTTTACTAAGACAGACTGGTAAGCTTACCTAAAAACCGGTATCTTTACTGTTTTTTTTTCAGGTAAGAATACCACTTTTATTGTTAATCAATTCCCGGTAACTTTGCCATTTTATCTCGGTAATTCTACCACAGTCGATAAAAAATATCGGCGTTTTTACCAAGGTCCAGTAAAATTACCGAGAAAGTTCAATAATTTTACCGAGATTTCTCGGTACAATTACCAATTCCATAAATGGTAATTTTACCAAGAAAAAACTGGGATCAAATAGAACCCTGAATTCTTGGTAATTTCCCCTTTTCTTAGTAAATAAACAGAGATTTTGTTTTCAGTGTGCTCCCTGACGAGCCCCGGTTTTCCCAGACCCTGGACACCATACTAAATACTCACCAAATGTTCGTGCGATGCGGGTAGTATCCAAAATCCGGGATAACTCCACGTTCACACAATTCACTCACACACTTGCACGGGTACCGCACGAGGGAAACACGCTCGTCACAAGCGGCGCGTCACGTTTACGGGGAACGCGTGCGGATTTCGGGAACGTACCTCGGAGACGCGGAGGCTGCGGTTCGGACTGGAACTGAGGGACGGAGGCCGATTCGCGGAGAAATGGAGAGTGCCGATTGGCAAGCCGCGCGCGAGTCGCGCTCGGGATAAAAAAAAGAAGAAGGAAAAAAAACCACTTTCAAACTTGCACCGCTCCGTGAAACTAGTCCATCTCCCCCCCCCTCCCCACGCGCCTGTTCCTCGTGCGTCGAACAGCACTTAATCTGGACCCGCATCCTCGGCTGTATGACTTATCCCACGAGTGAACTTCGGTTGCCCGATGATAAAGCTAATAACTTTTACTTTTCATTATTTCATTAGCCCTGGAACCTACGCTTAGCCCACGCCCAGAAAATCTCTTTGGACCGCGGCTTGAGTGGAGGAGCGCTTTGGAGCCGTTTAAATATTGCGTCAAGCACTTGGAGGAAGCTGGGATCATCTGGAGCATCAGCCGGAAATGGAAGTAAGGGGGTGGGTTCCCGCTGTTTTTGAGCTTTAGTGTTGCCTTGTGGGGGAGAGGGAGTTTCCCCCCCCCAATTTGGGATTATTTTTGCCGTTTTAAAACCCAAGAAAAAATTCTAGCATCGGAATAAATCTTTTTCCCCTGCCAAAATTTTCCTGATAAAATATGAATTAATTTAAAAACAGGAAAAAAATCCTTGAATTTTTTAAGACTTTCATTCGTAATTCAATCTGACTTCTTCGAAAATTTTGAAGATATGAATGTTTTATCCAAAAGTCGATGTATAAATATAGGAGGAAATTTGACGAGTTCCAAATGAAATTACTGAGATCCTCCTTTGCATGAAAATCCAAGAGGAGGATCTATGCATGAGGAATGGATCTTCGTTTGCAATGAGTCACAGTAATTAAAACATTGTTTCCGCCCGGGATCGAACCGGGGACCTTCCGCGTGTTAGGCGGATGTGATAACCACTACACCACGGAAACTTGCTTGGCCGGCGACGTAAAATTTATGAATATAACGAAAAACATAACATTTTGTAAAATGCATTTCATCATTGGCATACTTTTTGAAAAATCGTTTCCAAATTATTGTCTCCAAATTAATGATTAGTTCGAATTATGGATTATTTTGCTTGAATCTTCAAAAAATTCAGCTGAAGGGTCTAATAATTATGTGGATAAATGGGAATTTTAAAAAAAAAAAGGTTCTATTTAAGGAAAATTACGCAATAAAATCAACTTAAAAATAATCAGATGCGCGGTGGAAAAATTATAGTTTTAACTTTATGCCTGGCTGAATATGGCAGGTGACACCAGCTTACTTAGTGGTACCTTCCTTGAACTGATAGATCGAACTAGGAATAGACTAAGTTCAATGAAAAGTGAAAAAGGGAGACAGAAAATATCGTAATATTTCATTCATACAGATCGGAGATAGAGCAGGGCTCTCTGCCCTGGAGAAACGCCGCAGATGGACGCAAATCGCAGCTGCGCAGCACCGAATGTGACGCGACGCTTGTAGAAGTTCCTGCAATATGCTGGGATGCAACTATTCGTACACAATAGATGCAAATGATGTTGCAATTGTTGCATTGCATGCTGCTTGAAGGCGTTAGGGCTTTTCTTGTGTTCACACTTTTTAACAATACGTGCAATGCAATGTTCTTGCAGTTGCAGTAAACAACAAATTAATGGCACGATGTCCTTGTTGCCATATTGCCCATTTTGCTGCCTCACTCGTCCTGTTTTTGCAGAATTTCTTGATTTTAATCTGAATTACTTTCTTCTCTATGGAATGGAATGTGCTTGCTCCAATTTAAGTTGATTCAAATCGACAAAAATTAATATGAGGAAATAAAGAGAAGAGAATAAACATGTATTTAAGAGTTTTTAGATTCTTAACTTAGAACTGAACCGTTTTAATGATGCATTTTTAGAGGCAGCGTTAGTTCGGCTTTAAAAAATCTACTCGGCTTTTAAAATATAATTAATTTCTAGTTCCGGAAAATATGGTGATTAACTGAACTTAGTTTGAGTATTTTTAAATAATTGTGACTTTTTATGCAAAAACAACGAATGACGCCAACGTGAAATTTACACTGCTGACCACCTTGTGCGACTTTCTATACTGTTACAAACAATCCAGGCAAACAAATACACATTTTTGAGGGGGAATACTATAAAATTTTGGTTTCTTGAAGAATATGCGGGTAAAAATTCTATTAGGTCCCTCATTTGGTTTGGTTTCAAAATGATCTTTATGTTGCACAGTCTGAGTAGAATTGCAAGGCTCATACTCCTTAAATTATGAGTGGAGCATGATACGTTTTTTTTTATTAAACAAATTGGTTTGGGCATTAAAATAAATCTTAAATCACAGCAGAGATGAGGCCCATTGCCAAAATTCTCAAACTTAAGGTAACTTTAATTTTTCCGAAAATTCTTTTTGCGCACGATTATTCTTCATTAGGCAACTGAGTCGTAATAAATTAAATAGAAAACCAATTTTGAGTAAATAAAAGAAATAAAGCAAAATAAGACGCAACGCGAGAGTAAATTTGTCATGTATTAAATTATTAAACATGAAAAAAGATATGATAATTACGCTTTGTAAAATATACGATCATCTCATGTTTTTATCTCAATGGTCCTTTTAGACTCAGGTATAGTATAATATTCTAAGCATATTTCATCCAAAAAGCAAAACAACACACTAGTAACACGTTCGAATCGCAAGCTGCGTGTTGTTAAATTGAAGGCAAAATGTAATATCAAGTGAACGAGTGCGGTCCTCAACTTTAAATCCTCAGACAGCACGCGCTTCTTGCGTCTTTAAGTTTGCGCTTGGTTTAAGTATCTTGTTAAAGTATTTCATAAGTCTAAGCATCTCGGAATGTGGAGATTGCAATCTAGTGCTCGCTACAAAGGACACACTCTTTTTGTAGAAATTAGGCTGTTCCATTTCCAATTCGTCAAAATATTAGCTCAATAACAACTGAACCCGCACGCATTTTTTTCCCCTTAATGATCAAGTGATGAAAGAATTTACGGACGGTTTTCACTATCATTAGCCCGGAAAACATTAGTCAACAAGCTATAATTCTGAAACGGAATCAGGTGAGAACAAGCAGTGGAAATTCTAACCGTTCAATAATAGCCTTCAGATTCAAACAAGGCAATCTGTCATACATGCAATAATCTTCCTTGACTAACGATATTGAAGGCGAGCCGAAAAGTTTGTGATTACAGTAACACTGTAACAGCAACGCCATTATGCCTTATTCCGCCTTGAATATTTTAGGCATTGAAAAAAAGATATCTGAAGCGCACTGGGTTTCGGAATATCGTATATTTGATGAGCCTAGACAAGAATGATTTGATAGGCGGTAGAATCAGTTAATAATTTCCGAAAAAATCTCTTGCATACACCTTACTGAATAGACCTTTCATGATTGAAATTGCATTAAGAGTACGTTGAGTCAATCAGAATTGTGTAAAATCAATCTGCCCACAATTTATTTGGTGTAAATCGAAATTTTTCAAGTTCCTTGCGTTCGCGGACTTTTTTTTTAGCCATTGGCAATCATGCTGGATTGCTGGCTGCAAAAGAGACGTAAAAAACTATGTAATACCTAAAAATGCAAAGAATATTGCAAGCTTTTATAAAGTTTTCTCACGTTTACTGTTTATTTACGTGCATTCTCTCAACGTAACTGCTATGATAAAGAGGACCTATTCTAGAGCGAGGGCAGAATCTTTGTAGGTGTAGGAAGATTTCTATCGAGTTAGGTGGAAAAATCGGATTTTAAGATTATGACAAAAACGGGTTTGAGTTTTCTGAACAATAAATTTCTGGCAATTCAGTTCAATGTTGCAGATGGTGGGCGTAAACAGTGGCGTGGCGTGCTTCGCAATATATAGATTGATCCGCCATATAAACCGGTGGTTTATTAAGGTGTTCGTTTCGATTCGATTCTTAACCATTGCTTCAAATTGGAAAGAAAATATCATCGATTATCGACCATTTACGCCTCCCGATTCGGCGCAAAGTTATATTACAATCCGGCAATAGTTCTATGTAGAGTAGTTCAACATGGATCGTGACACTTTTCTAGCCTGGTGAGAGAGAAGCAGCTTTGTGTTTTACTGGTTGATTTTGAGCCTCAAAATAAATATATGAATCGATGGACTTAACTCTAGAAGATGCTAGCTGCCTCCGCCTTATTTTGTTTTTCTTATCAAATTCACTGCAATTTACTCACAGCTAGTCCCTAATTTTACACCATCATTATTTTCAGAGACAAAACGCAAACATTACGTATAATTAGTTTCGCTTTTCATTCAGCACATCTGTAACACGGAAAAGATTCCTTGCTTCTAAGGCTTCTTCGAATACATTAACGTCAGCAGTGACGAGAGAAAACAAGCTGTTTCTTTCATTCGCGCACCTGAAAAATTTGTCCGAGTCACTGGCTGATTATGGTATCCACCGAGGATCTAATGATTACTTCCTGTTGATCATTTGAGCCGTGCGCATCATGACCTAAAATTTTTCGGCTATCTCTTAGCCACAGCCCTGCGATCGGCATGCATGAGATACATCCTCATTCAAAAACTTTTATAGTAAAGCTGGTAAATGTTTGAGATTAATAAACTTTCTGAAGAATCGTTTACGTTTGTGCTTTTTAGGAATATTTGATTCAACATAAACTTTGCCATTAAATGGACCTGGACACTCAAAGGAGATGTTACATGTGTGAGGAATTTGCGATTTGACTGTTGATTCTTATGTAAAAGTTCGCGAGAAACACGATGGTGCCACTGGTTTTCTCTGAAATCGACTCCCAAGCTCAAAACAAGCTCTCAAGTTGAGGCCAAAATAGAGAGGATATCCCACGCTATCCTGAGAGTCCACGTCTACATCAAGACAAACTCTCCATGCAAAGATAGGGAGCAAATACATTGACAGGGCTGCCACTTTATTTGGGGACTCCAAAACTGAAAAACATGGCAACCCTGCTAATGTATTTGCTCCCTATCTTTGCATGGAGAGTTTGTCTTGATGTATACGTGGACTCTCAGGGTAGGGTGGGATATTCCCTCCATTTTGACCTCAACTTGAGAGCTTTTTTTGAGCTTGGGAGTTGATTTCAGAGAAAACCAGTGGCACCATCGTGTTTCTCGCGAACTTTTACATAAAAATCAACAGTCAAATTCCTCATACATACCTACAACATCTCCATTTTCAATCCCCAACGTGTAAATATGTATTAGCCCGCCTTGACAGCGCAGTAGGGCGCTCCGCAATTCCTAACCGTCACTGGGACCTGTCAAGGTAGAGATTTTCCGGAAGTTGGCATCCCTCCATCTCTTCTTGGATACCGCATATCCACCCTCCCTAGTTCTACTTTAAGGTTCAAATAGTAGCTGTTCCTTAATAGCTCCTTTCATTCGGGACGCTCCACATAGATTAATCATGATTCGGAGAGGTTTAAAGGGGAGCCGGCGACAAGATAACACGATGGGACAAATTTCGAGTAAAATTCAACGGTGTGGCTCTGTAAATGGGTTTTTTTTTTGGTTATCGTGAAAATTTGCCTGATAGTTTCGGATCCAAGGGACACACCTGCTCTGGCGAGCGCGGGGATTGATGGACGATGATACTGCGCACCGCTGTGGACAGTAATGGAGCCACGGAGGTCGAATAAATCAACGATGATTTAGCGTTTTCTCGGATCTTGGCTCGCTCGGCAGACGTCCAAAACACCGGGAGGACACGGGAAGGATCTTTGCGCTTTGTACTCGCCGGACTTTCGGGGTGGACCGTCGAACAGTGGAACAAGTCATTGAGAGAAGTCGGACGAAAGTTGGAAACTTTAAAAGCTTGTAACTCCGTCAATGCAGAACTTTGAGGTTTCAAAAGTGGCACCATTGGTTTTCTCGTCGCATTTTCCTTAAACACCAATTCCTCAAATTTGAAATTTTGAGGAATAAACACTAAAAAAAAAAACAAAACAAAAAACACATTGGATCTAGAGTCCAGAATCTTGAAAACATTGACGAGAAAAAGGACTCTTGATTCAATCAGATTTAAGCTTAATTCAAAAGGAAATCCGCTCAAATTAAGAGGCTTGGTTCTTGATTTAAGCTTAAATCTGATTGAATCAAGAGTATTTTTTCTTGTCGATGTTTTTAAGAGTCTGGACTCTAGATCCAATGTGTTTTTTTTCCAGTGAACATCCAACTTTGCAGTTTTAGTAAAAAAAACATTTTGTTCGACCCAAAGGCGGGGCGTGAATGATCGAGTATCAATACTTCCCCCTTTGAAGCTATGTCAAAGAATCGATTATTGTGTTCGTTGCGAACACCCTGTTTATCGAATCTTTTCTATATGTTTCAACGGCAGATAAATTGATATCTCGCAAAGCGCGCCACGTCAGTACTGCCCGACCTCACCCATCGACTCGACCCCCTGTGTGTTGTCCCCATGATGACGTCATTGGAGGTCGCACTCGTCCCATCGAGATATCTCGAAACACGAGTATCGATTATCGATACAAGCCCCGTTGTTTGATTACGGATAATTCGACAGACACGCCTGTGCGAGTATTCCAAATTCGCCGGTTGCGACTAACTAGCGGGCGATGGGTACACGGTTCTTAAAAGATCACCGCCGGCTCTGTGCCGCGCCGATGTACTGTTTATTATTTAAGTCTTGCGTCTTTCAATGACTGGTCAAACTATTATAATGTGTTATGAGTTAAGATGATTCGACCCGGCTCCCGGGGTTTGGTCGTGCCCCAGCTGGTGTTCGATGTTGTATTACGTCTAGGGATCATTGGGGGAGCTTGTCCCATCCCGGAACAGGAACTTTCCCGGGGACAGTTTCAGGGACTTCTTGGCTAAAATGGAGATGTTGCATGTGTGAGGAATTTGCGATTTGACTGTTGATTAATATGTAAAAGTTCGCGAGAAACACGATGGTGCCACTGGTTTTCTCTGAAATCAACTCCCAAGCTCAAAAAAAGCTCTCAAGTTGAGGCCGAAATGGAGGGGATATCCCACGCTATCCTGAGAGTCCACCTCTACACCAAAACAAACTCTCCACGCGAAGATAGGGAGCGAATACATTGGCAGGGCAGCCACTTTATTTGGGGACACTGTAACTGAAAACACGGCAACCCTGCTAATGTATTTGCTCCCTATCTTTGCATGGAGAGTTTGTTTTGATGTAGAGGTAGACTCTCAGGATAGCGTGGGATATCCCCTCCATTTTGGCCTCAACTTGAGAGTTTTTTTTTGAGCTTGGGAGTTGATTTCAGAGAAAACCAGTAGCACCATCGTGTTTCTCGCGAAATTTTACATAAGCATCAACAGTCAAATCGCAAATTCCTCACACATGCAACATCTCCATACACTTTTCCGGGAAACTCCGCTCTCTAATTACGTCCTGATGGTCGAAAATTCTGGTCCCAAAAATCCTCACTTGATCCCTCCTTGATCCCTAGTCACGTCCTGGTAGATGACAATTTTGAGCAACTTCTAGGATTTTTGGCCTATCAGTCCTCAAAAATATCCTTCTAGGTATTGAATAGTTGTACTCAAAATAAATGGGTGCCTTATTTTATAGAGGACAAGACATGCAATCAGGCCACTTAAATCGTTGGATCCTTAAAAATGTAACATTGTTCCGTTATCGTGGCTTGAGCTGTGGAGGTTTTTTTGAGTTTGAAAGTTTATCTCAAACAAAAATGGTAAAACTTGGGAATGAAAAATTAAATTTCTTCAGAACCTAAGATATTCCACTTAAATTGAGATTTACGTCGATTGAGACAGGGACTCGTAATTTTTTAATTTTTACTGTCTCTTGTTTTTTATAATTTTACAATGCAATTTAATCCAAGTACACACAAATAAACGTGTTTATCAATTTCACGACGGTTTTTAATTATTCGGGATAAAATCCTGGTAGTCTGAAAGAGCATGATATGTACCCTTACTCGCTATGTATATGGGCCGCGGCCCATGGCGGCAAATCTATAGGGGGCGGCAAATTTTGAAATTGTTTAAATATAGGTATAGAAAATTCGAATTTAGACAAAAAATTACAAACGAGAAAAGGCGACAAAATCTCTAATTTTCTGAGAGTATAGTAATTTCTACTTTTGTCGTCTTTCAGTGATACAAGAGACAGCACCTTTAATTAGTCGAGTTAAGAGAGAAACCAAACATGCAATTTGGCCTGGAACGGCGTGACTTAGAGAGAAACGATGACGAGGACTTGAGATGATAAGGAGAAGCCCTCGGCGCGGCGATCGGCATGTAACACATATTAGCCCCTACATGACTGCACAAATACTTCACGCATTGCGGCAAACACTGTGCGATCTGCGTGAAACGCATAGCGCCTACAAGACTGCGTGAATACTTCACGCATTGCATCCAACACGGTGCGTTCAGCAGCGGTCGGCGTGAAACGCATAGCGCCTACAAGACTGCGTGAATACTTCACGCATTGCGCCAAACACGGTGCGGTCTGCGCGGTGCGGTGGTGGAAGTTAAAATCATTGAACCACATTTATGTTTGTTCTTTCATAATTTTTTCATTCATTTCTTATGAATGGAAGGCCTTGTCCACACAGAGATAGGTTTACGAAATTTGACTTTCGCGCAAAGTTCCGTGAACTTTTGCTAGTAGTGTGGACAGGGCTTTCCAAAAAAATGTGTTCAACACAAGTAAATGCGTCTTATGCACCCCTCTCCCACTGGCACGTTCATTTGATGGTTTTTATTGATGTTTCAAAACGAATGAGAAGGGGGCGGCAAAATACAGGCGGCCCACGGGCGGCAAGTAGGTAAATCCGGCCCTGGTGCCACTGTTTGATGACTCAAAAGAATCAAACAATGGGAATTAACTTCCCCAATATTAGACCCATACTCTTAGGAGTATAAAATTATCGTTAAAATCTTACCGTACGTTGGAAGTTGAAAATCTCATTGTGTATTTACTAATATGCCCATTTTTTAGTATAAATTAATACGCCCTACCTCTTTTTTACATCTAAGCTCATGAAGTATTATTCTATTATACTTTCTTACTTTTGTATTTTTACTTTAAGGAAATTGTATAAAAAGCTCCTGTAGCTGTTTACATCGAAAGAGGTATAAAAACAAGTTAATCATAAAAAAGGGAATTTTTATAAAAAATTGAAGACAACACTTTTAAATTTTTTTTTTTTTTTTTTTTTTTTGTATCAAAAATCGTTTTTCAGAGCGCCACCCGAAAGGGGTTGCAACGTATCGGGGATAACGATATTCAGATCAATCATACGAGGAGGTGAAATACTATTTTTTGGAGGAAGGAAGAGGGGGGTTCACCAAAGCAGTACAACAAATTCACACGAATCGACTTGGAATTTTTTCCCTTAAAAAAAGGGGGACCACTAAAAAAAAATTCTCGGCGTTTTTACCAAGGTCCGTTGGTACCTTTACCATCTCACTTTTTTTACCAATTATTGGTAATTTTACCAAGATAGACCGGTAAGCTTACCTAAAAACCGGTATTTTTACTGCTTTTTTCAAGTAAGAATACCACTTTATAATCAATAGGTAATCAATTCCCGGTCACTTTGTCATTTTATCTCGGTAAAATTACCACAGTCGATAAAAAATATTGGCGTTTTCACCAAGGTCAAATAAAATTACCGAGAAAGTTAATTCCATAAATGGTAATTTTACCAAGAAAAAACTAGGATCAAATAGAATCCTGAATTCTTGGTAATTTTATCTTTTTCTTAGTAAATACACCGAGATTTTTTTTTTCAGTGAAGGAAGATATATGACAGTTTTGTATCAAGTGCGAGGGATGCTTGATGGTGCGACGACAGGGAAGATGCGCTCGGACGGGTAGTCTCTCCGTCGGACGGAGAGGGGGTCGAATGTCGAAAGCAAATTGGGAATCGGCGGGGCGCGATGTCGGCGCGCGCGACGTGCGCGAGTCATTCGTGACGATGCGCGTCCGCCAAGCACTCGCGTTCGCCGTGTCGGCCCTCCTCGCGTGCGCCCTGCCCGGGCCCGTCGGGGCCCTCCAGTCCCTCCCCCTCGAGTCCCTCCAGGTGAACCTCTCCAGGGTCCTCGTCGACTGCTCCCGGAACCCCATCAACAAGTCCCTTTTCTACGAGCACAACCGCGTCGGCCGCTGGTTGCAGTGTCACAATGTGAGTGAAGTGACGTTCCCGAAAACCCCGGACCGGCACCCGGAAAACGCCACCTGTAAGTCCACCCATCCTTTATTTTCTTCAGGAGAAACCAGGGATTTCACTCGGGACCCCCGCTCCCCCACCTAAAAACATGGGAATTTGCACGGGGAAAAAAGGCTAGGGTTAGAGAGGGGGGGTTAAAATTTTGGCACTACACCAATTTTTCGGACGATCAGGACACTTCAGAGGCTTGGAAGACAGGTATAAGTGCAGTTTTTGAAAAAATTGGTACATCGACGATTTCGAATAAACAGAATGCATATTCTGTGAAAAATTATCTCACAAATTCCAATTTTTAAGCATCAAAAAGTCAGTTTGAACTTTCTTTCCGCCATTAGGATCTATGTAATTTCAAAACCTCCAACAAGTATTCCTCGAAACAGCAAAAACTACACTTATGCGCCTTGTCCTTCAAGCCCCCCTTTCAAATTAGTTTTGTTAGGACTGCAACGTTTGGCTTATTAGTAACCTAATTTATTGGGATGCCACCACAATTAATTGGAAATATCCAAATTGGGACCTAACCCCTACCTCTTTATCACGTGTGCAATGGTTATTGAGTATCCAAAATCCCCAGTTACTTTACTCAAACACCATTATTTTACCCTACCGAGGTTTATTATTATGATCCAACGGAAACGTAGGTATGAGCCATGGTAGGACTAGAGGATACGATTACTCGGAATTCACTGTGGTTATTATACCGATTACCGGAAATTTTAAGTTATTTTACAGGGGCACGATAAATTCTTGTAAAATGATCGTGATCAAAATTGCCGGCGCAAGTTTATTTGCACATAAACGAAACTCTTCGGTACTTACCAATCTTCAGGAATTTTTGGTAATGCTACCTCCTTCCAATATAGCGTTTCCAGTTAATTACCAATCGACAATAACATTACCAGACCACGTATTTCGTTTGCGGTAATTAAAAATCTGTGCTTACATTTTATATTTTTAAGGAACAACAAATTAATTTCATTCCTTGAAAGCTTTCACGAATTTCCTTTGCACTGAGAAGAAAAATTACGGATGTTTTATACAATTGACGTTGAGTGGTTTTCCAGGTATACCGCAAACCGAGATACGTGGTCAGGTAGTTTCACCGTCGTAGTTTTTTTTTTCTTTCTTTTACTAAAAGCGGTAAAAGTAGCAGAAAAAGGATTGCATTAGGGAAAATAACAAAATCATCACCAAATTCGACAATTAGCCTATACCTCCCATGCATTTTCGCTCTTGTTTTCAGCAATCTCTCCTTCGGGAAACCTCTATCCCTCGGAAAATCGTCCATTCAATTTTTCCTTCCATTGAGTAAAGTTTTGCTGTCAGTAAACTTCGTGAACATTCGAAAGCAATTAGAGGCTGATTGGAAATTAATGGGTAATCTGATTTCCGGCCGGGGGATTTTAAAATTAGACGGAACCGAGGAAGTCGTTTGGTCAGATTTTTCTCTCAGCTCCGGAGGAAATATTTTCAAACTCGCATACTAATTCCGCAGATGCAGCAATCAAAAACCGATTATACCGCAGCTTCTTTTCATCTTTTTCAATCGTGCTGATTCCTTTCTCAGTTTTTCACTCTCACTTGCATCCGAGGTGAAGTTCTCTTGATTGTTTAGTCGAGGAAAATTAATGGCTTTAACACAGCCGTGCCAAGGAAAAGCGCCCTATGAACATTCAAGAGTTGCCAAATCACCTTCGATAGAATGTTTATGTTTGAGGAACTCTATGATCATTATTCCTTGAAATATTCGGAAAATTTAGGTGAAATAGCGAATGAAATTATCTGAAAAATAGGAAGAAAACTATTCACAAATTTTCCCGAAAACTAGTGATTTACCAAAAGGAATTTGGCAACGTCTGAATGTTTATAAGACGTTTTTCCTTAGCTTGGCAGAAAAGACAACTAACAAACCGATTGGTGCAAGTTGTCGTTCCTCAGACAAGGGAACGTATTTCCATTCCAGGGTTGCATAATTGACTAAAAATATTCGGTTCTGAAATAGAAATTACCGTGCAGTGCCTGTGCAAAATTTTGCTGATTTTTTTGTCGAATCTAAAGAAAAATCAGTGAAATGTTTGGTCGAAAATTTTTGAAAATTTCCTCGTAAAAATAGAATTTGAGGATGAACCTTTTGCAACGCTGAAAAATGGATTCAACCAGAATCAGTGTAGCAGTACAGCATTTTACGTTGCCTAATTTCTTTTCGTGCTTTATTGTTTGACCGGAAAACTCAGGAACATGTAGTAACTGTCAGAAACTGAGTATTTTCCCTGGATTATTATGAGGAAAGTATCCACAAAATTTCAAGGAGGATTCCTCTTTTGTTTATGTAATACAAAAATAAAACAAGAGAGGAAATTAGACCTCATCTGATAGTATCGATAATTCTATACTTACATACAAATGTGGTGATTCCTGTGTCAACAATTTTTAAGGATCGTTAGTGTTCGTGGACGAAAATTTTTCAGGATACCAATTTTTTTATCAAAATAGGCGAACTTTTTGGCATTTTTTATTAAAATAGGGATTTTAAATTTCGATAATAACAGCCCCTTCAGAATCCCAGTGAATAAGTTTCATCCATTTTTTAAGATTTAAAGCTATTTAATTCATTTTTGTACTGATTCAAGATATCTAAAGTTGCAATTTGCATACACAACCGATTGGAAAAACTGAAATTCATTTCAGTGGACTGAAGGTTTGGTTTAAAGAACTACATGAGTGTCTAGTTTAAATAACCGAAGTCCATAAGGTTAAGGAGCCGACCTCTAGGGCTCATTGAACCAAACAACTTTGGTGAATACGGGAAAGGTCCCAACCGAACTAAAGTCTTTTACTTCATTGAACTGAGCCTTTGGTTCATAGTACCAAACCGCCGGCTCAACAAAATCAGCTCTGGTTCTGAAGACCAAGGAGGTTGATTCGCTCAACTGAAGGATGGGTCTTCTGAACCAAAAACGTCCTTTGGTTTAATGATTCGTAAAACAGAAATTTTGCTTTTTGGGTCAGTTGCGCTGGTCACGGAATCGTGTTTTAATGTTTAATCCTTGTGAATCGGCTAAAAATAATAATATCTGTCCAAACAGCAGCTCTACGTCCAACTCAACCGAGATATCGCGTTAAAACACGAATTTCCCGGTAAACTCGTGAATATTTTTATTCCAATTTTTCAGATAATTTTTCTTGGAATTCCACCAAAAAGTCCTGAAAATTTTAAGGGAAACTTTTCATAATTTTCCTCAGAAATGAACCTTTTATCGAAGAAAATTTGGCAACTCTCGAATGTTCATACAACGTTTTTCCTTAGCATGCCAGTATAGCCGGGCTGGCTTTCTATACTGTAGCCAGCTATATGATTGTCATCGCTTTCTGTATCCAACTGTGAGAATTCCTATGCTATTTTGAAACACAGCTCCTATAGCCAATTTTTACCAGGGTTAGGAGCCCAAGGAAGCACCTTCACCTGTTTCTCGTCAACCCCTATTGACATAGCCTCTCGGTGTCATTGATATCGAGAAAGTAACATCCGTCGGCGGCGCGCGTTTGCCAGCGAAAACATTACATCACCGAATTGCACCTAATCAACCTTGAAACTTTTTCGGCCGAACGCCGAGTAGGATAGAAACGCGGACTAATTCTCACTCTCCGTTGCAAAATTCGCTCGTTTGGCCGAATTCGATGTAGCATTACTCGGAGCAATGTCCACTTTGGCGACACTTTTTTATGTCATGCGTTACTCGGATTTTTATTTTTTTCCTCTTCGTATTTTTTCGTTATTTCGTTGTCATGCGCGCTGTTACGCTAGTCGCTCCGTCTCGAGTCTCTGTTCCAGATAGTCGTCGCTGAGTTACACCGAATGTAGGAGACGGGGACCGAATGGACGTATATTTCTGCCAAACGGAACAATGTGCATTATGACGTGAGCCCTGTTATGCATCTATTCTTATGGGTCGCAGGGCTCATGTCTTAATGCACATTGTTCCGTTTGGCAGAAATACGTCCAAATCTACTTTGGTAAGGAAGAACGCCATATGAACATTCGAGAGTTGCCAAATTTCCCCGAATGAACGTGTAGTTTTGAGGAAAGCATGTGTATATTTTACCTTGAAATTTTCAGATAATTGGACGGAGTTAAACAGAAAGGAACCAAGCCACATCGGGATCGAACCGAGAAAAAGAGGTTTAAAGTTTGGCTCCTGCATAAGACTCAATGTAAAAGATAAAATTCAAGTTCAAATTCTGCAAAATTTGCTCCAACAAAAACTTTGAATTTTTGGCGATAGATAGTAGAGCAGTGGTTGGGTTCAAAACCACTCATAACTCAATTTTTTTCGAAATGTGGGTTGGTTCCTTTCTGCTTAACTCAGTCCAATTTAGATTAAATTGCGAACGATTTAATGACAAAAAATGTGAGTAAAAATATCCGCAATTTTTTTTTAGTAATTTTGTTTTCTATTGAAGGAGATATGGCAACATCTGAAGGTTCATACGGCTTTCTTCCTTAGCATGACAGAAATATACAGATGCGCCTGTAAAAGCACTTATCCGTAACGGGTAACCAATGGCAGATTAAATAGTTTCTGTGAAAAACAATTTTGTACTTTTTTACTGAACTGTTGAAATATGTGTGATCACGTAAACACCAATTTGTATAGAGAAATCAGTAGCAGAAATCTTGTTTTCTTAAATGTGTCTAACACGATGGTCCCTTTTAGCATAACTCAGCCCGGTCCTCTCACGCACGCCTAGGGTGGTTTTTTAGGTACTACACAGAGAGAAAACTCAACACGAAAGTTTGGCTAGTATGGGAAGTAAAACACAAAATAACCCGAACCCTCGGTTAACTTTGGGATTTTTCAGTCCCTCGATCGTTTTCTGTGCTAATTGTACTGCAAAGTATGCCAAAATTAACACTTTGGGTTGGTTTATGTTTCACCTCCTACATTAACCGAAAGTAACACAAGAACACAATGTAAAATTACCGAGAAAGTTCAATAATTTTACCGAGAT